CATTCATTGACGAAGAAATAGCTTTTCAATAAAGCTGTAAATTAGCAATCTTAATATCAGTAATTTGATTTATTGTCGCGAGAAATTTTAAGAACTTTAATAACTGTCATTGTTTTGTATGTCTGATTCTACTTGCTATAAATTGTTTTTTTTTTTCCCACTGATTTCAAACTAAACAAAAAACGAAACATGAATTTGTAGAGATGGCAGAAAGGCACAATGTGGAGGAACTTTTGGATTCAGCTCGCAGTCTTTTGCAACGTTTACAGGCAATTATTATGGAACTGGAACCGGTCAAGAACTGAATTTGACTATTGGCGATATAATGAAAACACCTAACACAATCATTAGTGCTAATGCTTATTAGCTTGAGATATGAATTGAATTCTGAAATTTTCCAGTAGAGTTTTCTTCCAGTCCGGAGAAAAAACGATTCTCATCAGTCGTGGTGGCTAGGCTTCGCAAACGAAAATATATGAAAAGTTATACTCACATTTGCTGAAGGCTCGTTGATGATTAAAAAGGCCAAAGGGATAGTGAAAGGAAAGGTCTGCTTAGGTGATATTGATGAGGTACGGTTTTTTCTGCGTTGTTGTTTGTCCTCGAGGCTGGTTCTGCCAATGTTTTCAAGGAAGCAGCAGCGTCATGGATGATGTATATCCATGCTTTCCGATCCGAAGCCAGAGTAGACCGTTAATGGTAGTCTATATGGTCGAAGATGAGGTATTGCTTCAGGACGTCCCGGTATCACCTCTTGGGGGTTACGCAAGCCAGTGCCAATTTGCCACCGAGCACAATCTTAGGGAGGCGGTGATCCTCTAGAGACGTGTCCAGCTCAGCGCATTTGTATCTTCAGTAGCCTCAATACTGGTGACTCTACCTGTGTAAGAACAGTAAAGCGCTGATGAAAGTGTTCCAGGATGGCAGTAGATAACTCATAACTCAGAATCATAGAATGGACAGTACAATAGCTTTATAAACACTAATCCTATTACCTCTCTTTATTGCACCAGACTTTTATGGAGTTTTCCGAAAGCTCTTTATGCTCTTACTAATCTGTTGTCAATCTTCGGATATCTCTGTCGATCTTGATCGAGAGAAATGATCTGCCCAAATAGCTGAACTGCTGGACTGACTTAAGTTATGATTCGCCTATGGTAATGTGAGGATGAAAGTGATCGTCTTGTGATGCAGGCTGGTAGAGAACTTTTGTATTCTTCAAGCTTACTTCTAGCTTAAGCTCTGCAGCCTCTGCAAAACAAGATGTTAAACGCTGCAGAGTTCTTCTGTGTGAGCGACGAGGATGGCATTATCAGCAAAAAGTGGCTCTCAGATTTAGGATTTTGGTGTAGGGCTTCAGTCGCCTTAGATTAAATAGGCTTCCCATGATATTTGGATGTAAATGCTACTTTCTTCATCTAGGTCTGCCGTGGCCCTTTGGAGCATTATGCTGAAGTAGGTCTGGTGCAAGAACACAACCTTGTTTCACCTCATTCATTATTAGAAAAAACTCTGAGAATGCATTGCCATCTGACTTGGTCATGTTGATTTTTATGTAATAGCTTGATCATTTTCAGAAACTTGGGGAAACATCCTAATCGTTCCAACATCTGCCACAAGCCTTTTCTGCTTGCAGTTTCAAAACTTTGATGAAGTCTACGAGGGATATATGAGTTTTTCGTTCTATTCTCTACACTTCTCTTAAAGTAGTCTGAGAATAAATACCTTATTTGTAGTACTTCTGCTGACTCTGAACCCACGTTCGCTTTTAGGTAGAAGTTCTTCTGAGATAACAATATTAATCTGCTCAGAAGTATTCTTGCAAAGATCCTTCAAGCAATAGGAAGTATAGCAATACCTCAATAATTTGAGCAGTCTGATTTTTTCACTTCCTTGTACAAGGTAATAATTACATAAAGGAGAATTTGTGATAGTTCACCTTTACAACGAGCTGGTGAAATTTCGCCTTTGAATGTTTGACCTCCATGTTTCTGGACCTCAGGTGGGATATCATCAATCCCAGCTGCCCTACCAGTTTTCACTTGCTATATGCTCTTAACGTTTCTGTCATAGTAACTTTATTCGATTTGTTTTGCGCGTTTTTGTGTGATGTCCTGAATTACCGAGCTTCGGACTGAGCTCTGCCAACTATACGGTTGATATTAAAAAGAGTCTGGAAATGTTCAGATTATCGGTTCAGTATGGAGATTTTATCTGTGAGAAGCATTATTTGTGAATCCTCTTTTTGAACACGGTGCGTTGGTCCGTACACGGATTCCAGAAGTCGTAGAATTCTCTGTGGTCACCAAATCATCGCACAATTTTATCTTTTCTGCTAAGTTAATCTACTTGTTCTGGATGTCTCGAAGTTTCTGTTGAAGTTTGCATGCAAGGCGAAAAGCTGCTTTTCTTACATGGCAAAAATCAACTTGAATTTTTTTCTGGAAATGTACTTTTTTATATTGTAATGGTACTCTAAATCTAACAATAGTTGAAAAGTTTATTTTCAAATTAACTGAATTTACTGTTTATGAACCTTATATCTGCTACGAATAAAAAAGCCGAGGTAGTCCTTGGTCAAGAAAAGGTTGCGAATCACTGCACGAGATGGAGGGATATTTATGTTATATGTATAACCTTAACTGATTGACAAATTTATCAGAAATAAAAGAAATACTAATTTTAGCAGTGATAAATTTCGAAAGATAATAAGGAGATAAAATTTTAAAAGAAGTTATGTTAAGATGAAGTGGGAACATTTCCTGCAGGTCATAGCACCACGACATTTAATATATGCCAAATATTTGACAGTGAATATAACTGATTCGCGCATTTGTTTTAATTACTAGGAGATTTTTTTAGTGAATCTTATAAATGATATTAAAATTAGTCTGAAAGGAGAAAAGAAAGCATGAATGAGTTATTTTGAGCAAGTTTTGTTCATTTGATATTTGCAAAAATTCAAAAATTCTTCTACTGTTTATATATGTATAATGGACTTTGATATTTTCTACTATGAAATATTATTTATTGCCTTCTTTGAATTTACTTTTTGAAAAATACAACTTTACAGTGGCGTGTCGCATTATTCATGTCAACTTCAATTCTGCTAGTGAGTGATCTTTCATGCTCTGGTCAATAGCCTAGTACAACCATGGGCCAAACTGTACAGTAAATCACTACACAAAGTATCAGTAATAAAAAAGAAATATTGCGAGTGCTGGTACTGGTATGAATAGGAGTACCAAAAACGAAAATTTTGAAAATCATAACTTGATGAAAAATAGGACAAATCTAAGCTCATTTGATGAGCAAAATTGGAGAAATTATCAGTTTAAGTCTGCTTAATATTTGAAATAAGTGAAGTTTGGGGACTAATATATATGCGACAAACGAATTCGAATATTTCATTATTTGAACAATAAAGGATTTTGGATGAGGCAGTTGGTTATTTGAAAAGTAAATAAGTAAATTCGATGTTTTTCTATCTAAATGAAGGAAAAGTAAATAGTTCTCTTTTTATGCTAATTTATCCATTGATCACTAAATCACGTATTTCAAATTTATTGATTTTAATTTCATGAGAAAGTTTCAAATGATAGAGAAAATTCATTGGAACAATAGCCAAATTTCATTTTATATAAATTAAGCTTCGACTAATCGAAAAAGGCATAAATCTCAAATTTCCCATCTCTGTTCATTGATCTTACTGTTTAACTTATAAATATATGTTAAATTGGAATTACAAATTGTACCAAAATTCCCTTATTGAGTAGTCGAATTATGGTGAATAAAATGATAAGAAAGTACTGACAACTATTGGTTCAAACTAAATAAAATTGTTGTAAAATTTTAATATCCTGGAAATATCTTCTGGATAAATTTAGGATGATCTTTTAATATGCGTAACAATTCACGTAAAGATGAAACTTTAAGCAAAGCTTTTAGTTTATGCTTGCGCATATGTCGTATGCCAATAATCTTTCTTATCTTTTGTATTTGATAGTAACAGCTCATTTCATGTTTAATATTGATTGTTTTTTTTATTACAAGTTTGTTACAAAACTTTTTGTATTTGCAATTTCTACGATTTCTGCGAATGATTCGAATGAATAATTTCCATGTAATAAGATTTGACATAACTGGCTATCGCCAGTTGATTAATGTAGCAATCCTTTTTTTTTTCTTAACATGTACAAGGAGGAATACCGGATAATGATAATGAAAGGATAATCTTGATTATGTATTGTAATGGTGTCAGTTGGTTATATTTCACTCAGAAGATTATGTTTTTCTCAAATTAAGACGATAATTCAGCAGGACATTTCAGGATAAGTATTATAGTTAAGCCAAGGAATGGGTATAAATGAGGGAAAATAGTGTGTGGGAGAGAGAGAGAGGATAAGTAAGATCTATTTCTTTTCTGTTAACCTTAGCAAAATTGGATTTAAGATGAGAAAGTAATGAATGATCAAAATTATCTTCGATGTTTGAATATCCGGTAAATTAGAAGAAATGTGAAAGAGAAGGTAACGAATGAGGACAATAGCCTGGAATAGAGAAAGATATAGGTATAAGATAAGAATAGAAGAACTGAAATGAATAGAGCATTGGTCATTTATTGCAATAGCCAACTGCAATTTAGCACTAATGTCACATTCGTCTCTCCTCCTCTTCTTGTCTCATTCATTCATTCCATTAACCCTACTGAGCTTAAAGTCGGTTCAGTTCATCACTACTGCTACTATACTATTTACCACTACTGCTCTTAGTGTATCAATACAACTATTACTACGATAAAAACAATAAGAGCTAATACTATAACTGTCACTACAACAGTTATAGTTATTGCAATAACTACTATTAATACAACAATAAGAAGCAACAATTGCTTTTACTACTACTAATAATAGTAATAATAAAAATAATAATAATAATAATAATAACAATAAGAATTGAAGCAACAACAATAATAATAACAGTTACTATTGCTACTGCTACTACAACTATTATTAATAAAACAATTACTGTTACTAATATTGATACTAATCTATTATTGCATTATTGTTGCTAGTTATTCGATTGCTAATATTATACAGCTTAAGCCCTATAACCAGGTGTATCTATTGGTCATACATTATACATACATATCTGCTAATTATCCCCACTAACCTGAAACGAACATGGAAATGGTAATCAGTGGTAATAGCATCTGTTTGATGTGGCATCGTAGTATCATCGTTATTATTTACCTGGTAACAATTTATACTCTTTACTATCAATACAGGTCTTAATGTTACATATACAATGAAATGATTTAAAATTGTTAATTTCTGAATTTTAAGTTAATGTTATTGATCAAATCATTTTTAATTTTTTGTGAGCAAGCAATATATTCAATAAAAGATTTTGCCGAGACATTTTATTATTTCAGATTTCGTATGCATATTCTGTGGAAATAATTCCATATAAATTTCATTCTAATAATGGTAAATAATTTTGAAATTTCGTCAACTCCTAAATTATTATTAAGTAGAATAATATCGATAATTATTTAATTAATTTGAAATGTCCGTTTTCTCGTTGCTTTTTTACCTTCCTTGAATTAACAATTTTTCAATCATAAAAATTCGATTTATTTTCAATTTTAAACTATTCCAGTTTTCGAGTGACTTATTAATTTTCAATACAGATAATTTTTAATACAAAAAACTAAAAGATCATGTACTAAAAAATTTTAATTCTAAGTAAAATTATTTGAAAATCTGCAATTCAAATCAAGAAGTCAAAAAATTATAATTGAAAATTAAATCCATAAAACTGTTTTAGCAAGATTTCTGATCTGAAAATTGCAATTTAAAATTATAATTTCGAAATTATAAAAGAACAGCCTTACAGATGAATCAATTAACAAATGCTTACAACGAGCAATGAAAATAATCACCGACAAAACTTGCCTATTATTTGAACCAACGACTACTATTACTAACATAAATATGAAGCCAATTTCATTTATGCAGTCGTCGTAAGTTTGAAATAAATTTTATGGTAATTACTAGCAAAAATCTGTTTACAATTAGCCCAATATTTATTAAAAAATTGATGATAATTTTGTGATAGCAATGAGTAGCAAATTTTAAATAAATCAAAAAAAGTGAGTAAATTTTGGGGAAAAAAAGAAAAACAAAAATTGTTTTATGTAATTAAAGCTTTAAATTCTAATAAATTATAACAATGCTTTCAATCCAAAAACATTCTTTTCAATTTTTTTTCAAAATTCTTTAAAATCTATTAACATAAATCTATTAACAATATATGGTAATATTTTGTCTATTTTCAGTATTGCTAAATCGTTTATTCCCTTTTTTCTTTCCGTTTTTCCGTTCAAAAGAGTTCCGTCAACCACTTTAGACTAAATATTCCGATTAATTTGATTCAATTTTCTGCTTCATCACATTCAAGTACTTATATTCAAATTATAGTCCTACCCTAAATGATATTAGTATTAAATGCAAAGCAATTGACCGAAGTACGCAGTAGATTTGATCCGGGGATAAGTGGTCATTCATAAAATTCTGATCTTTCCCTCTCTCTCTCTCTCTTTCTCTTTCTTCCCTATCATAGATTTTGGAATCATAATTTGATTGAATTTTTAGGGGGTAAATTATTTAATTAGTTTCGTGTAAGTTTTAATTTCTAGCAATATGTGTATATCAATGCACTAAGTGATAATCTAAGCGATAATCTCTCTTACTTATCATACTTTTTAAAACCATAATTAAATTTCATTTTTGTGAGATGGTAGTTTTATTGATTTAATTAGCCATTTATAAGATTCAATTTCAAACAGTTCAAATTTCAAACAATATACATATGTATCGGTGTAATACATTGTAATTTTGACAAGGACACTTAACCATCACCTAAAGGTTAGCGTTGTTTTTAAAATGAAATTTAAAAGGTACTATAGTTAATTAGTAATATTGTCTGACTTGCCAGACAATATATTTGACATTTTACTGCAACTTGCAAGTTTGCTAATGGTTTCGATTTTTATTAATTTCAGATTCTGTTCATGGCAAAAATCGAATCAAACGATGCATTTGAATGGGAAATGTCTCAATGTTAGTATTTAAATAACACCATAAAATTTCAACAGATTTTTGATTTCTCAGGAAAAAATTATATTATGTATATTTGAACAGGAATATATATATATATATATATATATA